GACATGCTTTCATTGTCTAATGTTTCAAATTTTTGTAGCATAGGCTTGTCTTTCAGGATCATGTTTGCTGGTTGATTTTTCTTATAATACCTGTTTGTTGGAGTTGGTGCATACTTTTGGACTTTTTGGCTTGAAAACTTTTCTTTAGTAGCATTTTTGTTGTCAGGTACATGCTTTCTATTCCAAAAATTTGGGGTTTCTGTAGAAGCATTTTTTCTGATTACCTGGGTCTTTTTGGTCTCTTTTCTTTGTTGAGTTTCCAATTTTGACACCATTGTGATCGGTTTTCTTTGAGTTAGTTTTAATGAAGTTTCTGCTTGCTTAGCAGCCTCATATAGTTCTGCCAATGTTTGATATTTAGGATGTAAGGTGTACACTAAATGTAGAATATCCTGTTGTAATCCTCTTTGTAAAACTTCCATCAGTTTTATTTCTTTCATAGTTGCAAGCAATTGTGAATTACTGTTGTGATATCAACATTTGGGTTCTGTGCTGGGTGATGTGTTCCATCTCCATGATCTGTTGGAATTGTGATTTGATTTCTTTTCATTTCACTCACCAATCTATCATAGTCTTCAATTAGTCTTTGTTGCCTTTCTGACATTCCTGCTGGCTGAATTGTAATTGTTGGAGTGTCTGGGGTTGAAGGGTTAGAGTCTGTAACTGCCCCAGTGGCATTTCCATTTCCTCCTTCTGCCATATTTACTTTCTCAAAACTTTTGAATAAACCAAAATATTATCCTGTCGACTGCACCAAATTTGTACTGCTCTTGCTGGCAAAATCTATGCATTTGCAAGTTATAACAATTCTGGTTCTATTCAAACCTTTAAACAAATGTTTAAATTAAAACAGTTTATTCGCAATAATAATAATTATATAAAGCAATATGTAATTTTGATAGCAGAGTAGATAGTTTGTAATAGTTAGTTGCCAAATTACCAAACTGTCTTCCAATGTTGAGGAGTAGATGGATGGTTCCAGTGGAGGTTGTTTCCAGGTTATCTTCCCAGGTTGTTGAGTCCAGATAGGAATGCTTAGAATGAAAATAGTGAGGATTTATGGGGAGCTGGAAAACTCGTCCCTGGGAAAAGTCATCCACTCTTTTGGGAAAACTCGTCCCCTTTTGGTAACAGCAAGTTTTATCATTTTTAAAAGAAAGTATATAAAATATATATACTGTAAAATCATAAACTTTTTTGTGAAGTTACAATAGTTAGCAAACTAAAGCTCTGCTTTTGAGAAAACTGGTAGATATCAAACTCTGCATTACCAGGTGTATTTCGTGACTTAAGAAAAGTTAACAAGCAATCAAAAAAGAATTGCTATCCAATCCCACACCAGGAAGATTTATTTGATAAGCTGGGAGGAGGTCATAAATACTTTTCCATATTGGATTTGACAAGTGCATTTCACCACATCCCCATCAAGGAAGAGGACAAAGAAAAAACATTTCTCAGACCCTATTTAATAAATTATAAATATTTAAAAAAAGAAAACAAGTGAAACTAACCATTAACGCACTTCTTATGATAATTATGATGACAAAGGTTACATTTGAAGCCAGTGTTGTTTCTTTTAATAAACTTCCTACAAACATTTCATGACACCATGTTGTTTTCAGGGAATGATTTGAAGATTTTCAAACCTATTCAACTTTCTTGAAAATTAATTGATTATTTTGTAGACTTTCAAGTAGCAATGTATATTTAATTATTTATACATCAATTAAGTCATGAATTATGTTTACAACATTAAAATTAACCACAAAAAATTATCAAAATAATAAATTGATCTTACCTCTGACTGAGTGATATTTGGAGAGGAAGTAGAATTAAAGATGGTGAAAGATTCTTTTGTAAAAATAAAAACTGGTAGAAAAAGATTTTTTTTAAATGATCAATTTTTATTTATAATTCTTTGGCAATCAATTTTGATATTCTCTGTTTCAATAAAATAAATATATTAAGAACACATATTAAAAGTTTTAATATTAATAATCAATAATCCTACAATTGATTATAAGCATATTTTAAACCAAAGTGGGCGGTTTCAACAAGCACAGTGGGCATTTTCAACAGTGGGCGTTTTCAACAACCCCCATTTTAATGGCTTCTTCTACAGAATGGAAAGTAGAACAGCCTATTTTTAAATAAAGAATAGAAACTGTTAGTTGTCAAAAAAAAGCAAACTTACTTGTATAATCAGCATCAAACCATATGTTAACAATATCTTTCAGTTTCTAGTATACCTTCAGAGCAATTCCAAATTTTTCAATTTCATAACTGAGAAAAATATCAAAAGGTTGACTATTATAAGGATTCCCTTTAAAATTGTCTGATTTATCAGAATTATTTCTAATCTGTAAAATTATTTCACGTATTAGCCTACTAATTGCAGGATTTTGAGATCTTTTTCTCTCTAAATTTTGAATGATATGATAATATTTTTGTTTGGTTAGTATTTTATGAGAATTTTCATCAAAACAGATTGTCCATATACATTTTGTACACATTTAGGCAGTTCGTAGGTACTAAACACATAAGCTTATAACCAGGCTCACAAATTCACACAATACACCCAAATTGTTACATTTCATTCATCAATGGAAAGCAATATTGAAAGAGTATTATAGAGTACTCTACACGCCTAAAACTACAACATACACTATTTAAACTAAGTTGTAAAAGTATTTTACAACTTAGATGTTAACCCTAATTATTATACACATCATATTTAATGAATATTAATTATATCTTCCACTATTCTATTTATATTTGGAGTTTTTAGATTATTGTCACTTTTCAACAGTATTGTATGCACAATACTATATTGGATGATTAAGTTTAATACTTTTATGCTACCAGTCCTTTACACAGAAACATATTATCTTACACAAACAATTATTATTAATAATTTGTTGTATATTAAAACGGCATCAAGTTGACCTTTTCCTATTTTTGTGTTTTGGAATCAATCCAACTTCTATTAATAATTGTTACATCTTAGGCAACTAAATCAGCTTCTCTCTTCAGTTCATCAAGCAGCCAATAAAATGATCATTTAGATGGTACTTTATTATTCATTCTATTGTGCCATCCTCCCACACTGATTATTAGTCCTTATGGATAATCCATATATAGACCAATTCTCTGATTTCCATATAAAGTTCATAATCCAAGTTGCTTCAAAATATTCCAACCTTATAGGTAAAATTACATGTTTTACCTGTATTTTCCTATATATTGCTTGTATAAAATGGAATACACATCCATGAATTTGTGATTCTGGATATATTTTGGATACAGCTCTCCACAGACCCATCACAAAATCAATTGTTATCTTCTCAGGCTGTGACATACCAGTCATGTTTCTGACACTCTGAAGAATGAAACATTCATCTGAAAGTAGTTAAATCTAAAATGATAATCTTTGCCCAAATATAATTATCAAAAAAAGCTTGACTTTCAAAGTAAATTTTTTCCAAAGTGAAAGTTAACTTCAGTTTCTTCATTTTTAAAATGGCTGTCAGTTTATATTTCAACAGTCTTTTGATTTTTGTAGGTTCCATTATTATAATTCTAAATAATAAAATTAAAAAAACCTAATATTTTTATGGGTACGGTTTCACCCGGCATTTTAACAGGCTTGTGGGCGTTTTCAATAGTGGGCGTTTTCAACAGTGGGCGTTTTCAACAACCCCCAGAAAAAACTGCTTTTATTACACCATTTGGACTATTTGAATTCAATTGAATGCCTTTTGATTTGGCAAATTGACCTTCACACTTTAGTTATATTATGGCAAATTTTGTAATTAATGGATTGGAAAATTTTTGCATTAATTATATGGATGACATTATTGTGTTTACTAAAACATTAGAAGAACACTACACAACTTTACAAAAACTAATGGAAAGAATTAAAGAAAAAGATTTCAGAATCAAACCAAGCAAGTGTTCTTTCCTACAGGAATCAGTACAATTTCTTGGTCATAAGATCACACAAAATGGTATTGAATTCTCAATATTAATTCATTAATTTTTGAAAGATACTCATCTACTTCCTTGGCTCTGGTTTTGTCATTCTCATAAACCAAAATAAGATTCATTGAAGTAGCATTGTGGGCTGTCGACTGCGCCATATTTGTACTTTGTTGTATTGTAATGGTAGACATTTCTCGTTCGTTATAACTGTAAACGTCCTTTCCAATCATTTACCAATTTGCAAAAATGCTGGTCGAAACAGAACCTTTAACGTTCATCCACAAATAGTCTTAACAAATGTCATTTCGGTAGAAATGAATCAACAAAACACCAGTATTTCGTGCAAAGAATATGTATTGAGTAAAAAGTGAGCTTCTAGTTCTAAACAAGCTAGTTTAAACAACTACTTAAGTAGAAAACTACTTAATCATAGTTTGGCCCAATCTAAGATTTAGACAAGCTCATCAATCACAACTTGGCCAAACCTTAAGTATGACCAGGCAAAGTAGTTACAACATAACTTGTTACACTTAAAATTTTAAATAAAATGTTTAATTTAAATAATTTTTTCTAAATAAAATACCAAAGCAAGGAATAGTATGAAATTTCAGTGCCAATTAGATAGTTTATAATAGTGTGTTGCCAAATTAACCAGCTGTCTTCCAATGTTGAAGAGTAAAATGCTTTTTTCAGTGAAGGTTCCTTCCAGATGATTTTTCAGATGATTACATAGAGATATGATGAATGGAATAAAGCAGTGAGGATTTATATACTTTGAGGTTTTGCCTCTGATATCTAATCGTCACTTTACAGTTGGTGAATTGTCTAATTTATATTTTCAATTTATGTGACCTTTTTTAGAAAATACATACAGATCTCGATATCTTCAGCATCCGTTCCATTTTTCTGAATAAATAGTTTTCTTTTCCCCAAAGACAGATCATATATTTTAATTAATTCAATTTTTTTATTGTAGAATGCAGCAACAATCATCTGGCAATGTTATTTAACAATTTTATTCATCTTAATTTAATATCAAATCCAATTGGGAAATGATCACTCATTTTCACATCATAATAGACAATTCCACTATTTGGGATAACAAACTGGTTCATTTTGCCTTTGATAAGTAATCTTCAAAGAAGTAAAACACAGGGCAATAAGAAAGTATAGTAAAATTTAAAAAAATAAACCTGTCATATACTTTAGGGTTATTTTCTCTTGGTATTTTCATTGTGTTTTTAAATGGAGTAACAAGCTTAATGTCATCTTTCATTTTTTCATCCAAAGTTGTCCTTTTTTCCCTGTTTGGTATAAAAGATTCATCCCAATTTAAATCACCACCAATAATGAAATTTTCACTTTTCTGAAAAATATATTATTATATAGTTAATGTTGAATAATTTTCAAAGTGATTTGGGGAGGGATAGTTGGAATAAATTTTGAATTATTTAGCTCTTGAATCATTTGTTAACATAGTTCTACCTATATCAATTCTCTCACATCAATGAAGCAATTGATTGGGATGAAAAGATTGCTAACCTCTTTTTTCATTGTAGGTAGTTGTAAAAGTTTGTATATTTCGTTGTATGTTGACTGATACAGTTGGTATTCTTCGCTAATAGAACCCTTTATTGTCTTGCTAGGATGAGCGTGCAAAGGAATAAAGAGGAAATCTTCAATCTCACAATATTTAATGCCAAAAAGAACTAAATATGGTGGACGAGAAAAGGTATTCAAAGTATAAGTGTCTCCTCTTGAATTTGTTAGCAACGTCGTATCCAAATATTGGTCTCCCTCCCGAAATATTAGATATTTTGTATTGTAAACAAAGATATACCTTTCATCATTGTAAGAAAGTTTACTAGCTATTGCGTAATATGCGCAGTTTCCATTTGTTTTCCTTTTTTGATTCAAATTGTTAAAAATTGTCAAATACTTTTCTATTTCTTTTACTGATTCTTGTAAAAGGATTAAATCAAATCTTTCAATGACCTTTTAGAATTAATCGTGAAATTGTGAAATGCTTATAAAAAAATTTTTTCAACCTACCCCCATTAAAGTATCATCAACTTTTTTCTGTGTGTTAAATGCGCCAATTTTCATTGTACGATTTCTATCAACAGTTGAATTCATTTCAGGTTTTTTTTTCCATTCGATTATTAGAAAATCTTTTCTAACTTCTTCTTTCTTGTCTTTTAAAATAGCTACAATATTGAAAAATATTAACTTAGGATTATTTAAGATTAGCCTATTCAAATTATTGATTTTACTGTAAACATTAGTGTTGATTGTTTGCTTGTCAGGTTTAGATTCTGGTTCTTTTTCAAAATATATTTCCCGTTCATCTGATGATAGTTGTAATGTTTTTACAGTAAATTTCACTTCTCTATCACCTTCCTCCCAAAGTGTGTATAGTTTTATTACCTGTTCAGTCTCATAGATATACCAATTGAAATATTAATTATTTGATTGAAAACAAAAGATAAAATGCGTGTTCCACACATTCAAATATATACTTTTTCGCTATCAGGATAATAGAATATTCCATTTGGAAGATCTTCATCTGCTGGATAGTAAAATTGGCTTTCATTATAATCCCTGTCTCTATGTCTAAATTCACATTTTTCTAGAAAGTAAAATGTCTCATTGTATTTAAATGAAAAATGAAATGTATTACCATTTTTAATGTGACGTAGTTTTTCTATTGGTATTTTGATAATACAGTCATAATTTATGCTTAATTTACTAACACCTTCAGTTATGCCTTCTGCCATCGTTCCTATAGAAATAAATTGAAATTCTAATTGCAGACAATGCTGTAAAACTGTTAGAGCTCTTTCAAACACTGCACCTATAGCGTTTTTTGAAATATTTATAAGGATTATTATTTATCGATTGTCTATTTTAGATTTAGATTACAAAATCATTGATCATGCTTTCTTTTCTTTTGAGATTAACACATTTACTCATTGATGTTGAATAAATCCAACAAAGGAACTGTCTCTAGTTTTGTTAAGTGTTTATTTGAGAAACTACTAGCAACCTTTGTAATGAAAACTGTTTAAAATCTTAATGAACTATTAAAATGAAAGTAGGAAATCCATTTAGATTATATATAGATATTTATAATATAATAACCACAGAGATTAGGGTTACAGGTAAATCCATACCCATTAGGGGTGAATGTCTTACGATGACCAAGGAAAACGGTTGTTGTTGATATTTATAGAAATAAAAAAATATGATAATATATTTATTGAAGAGCTATTATACTATATGCTAACTCAAGAAAACAATGGATTCATCAGCTAATATCCTTCCAAGCCTATAATCATCCCAAATTTCAAATATTTTCTGTACTTTATTATTCAGTCTATTGTACCATCCTTCCACACTATTATTAGTCCCTATTAATAATCCAAAGACTGACCAATTCAATGGTTTCCAAGTAGAATTCAAAATCCAAGTATTTTCGAAATATTCCAGCAAGTCTGAAAATGTTCTCAGGATTAGCGTTAAGATTGCATAGGGGTCCCCAAAGAAATTTTGGGTTAATCACTTATGGACTTATACAGTTTTGGCTATTGATTATAAATCTGCAAAAATCGACCTCAAAATGTTTTAACTTTGGCTGTTGTTTTTTAAAAACGTTTAAAAAAACTACTATCATTCTATAGAGATAAAAAAACAAACTTCCAATGCGTTTTTAAAGTTGATATTTATTAGGAACATGTAACTTGGGCCTATTCAACTTTTTGTCTAAAGATATACCTAATAGTGCTTTTAGTTTACCTATTGTTTTTTTTATAACTTTTAAAAAAAAATTATACATGCAAGGTCATAATTTGGGTCAAGAATTTTTATTGATGCATGATGTTTGTTTTTGTGAGATGCAAGCTCATACAAAATTTGAGTACAATTGGAGTAGTATTAACAAAGTTACAGTTCGCAAAAGTTCGATAAAATGTCTGGAGTCTTTTTTTTAATGTTATGTATTGTTTGCAAGTGTGAATTTTAACTTGGGAAAAGTTCTTATTACGTTTTCAATAAAGGTATTGATTCATTTTGACTCTTGAATATTTTTGATAGTAGCCACCTGGTGGATGGTATTGATATTAGACACCTGGTGGATGGTATTGATATTAGACACCTGGTGGATGGTATTGATATTAGACACCTGGTGGATGGTATTGATATTAGACACCTGGTGGATGGTATTGATATTAGACACCTTGTGGATTGCTTTGATATTAACCCTGGATAATATTTGAGAATTTTAGAGAATATTGAAGAATATTTGATAATAATGTTATAATTTGAAAGTTGATTGATGGACAATTTTTGTGCACTTAGAAATAATAACATGACAATATTTAGACTTTGACCAAGTGAACCCAGGCTTTTTGAAATGTATAAAAGGAATTACATTACAAAGTCAATTTTAAGAAAATTTTTCTTTAAGATTTTTGAATTTAAAATATTTCAGTTGTCGAGTAAATTTGAAGAAAGAGAATTGAGTTTGGCCCTGGAATTAGTATATCATCATCAATTTCAAAAACAATGTATTCAAAGTCAATACTGCTGCTAATTTGTCAAATATAAAACATTGATCAATACTACTTCCTATAAATAGAACAATATTGGTTGATCAATAAATGAAAGAAATCTGAAGAGGAGAGACATCGCATTAAAAAATTGGAATATTTTTTCGCAAAAGTGACTCAGTATTGACATTGAAGCAATTGGAAAAACAATCTACCTCAGCAAAATTAGCCTGCTGATATGTATATATATATATATATATATCTGTATTGGTAATTCTTTAGATTGATTATGTAAGTGACAAATACTCTCTTAATCTAAAAAGAACAGATAATAGAAGCCATTTTGAGTTTAAAAATCAGCTCTCTTCACACTGTAACCAGAAATTAAAAAGAAATGTGATGAATATTTCCCAAAGGTGTGATTTTCATGTGAAAAGATATTTGTGAACAATGAAAAATCCTCTTTTAAAATATCATGCAAAACAGATTAAAGCTGTTCTAGAAAATGATAAATTATTTAATAAAAAATTACAAGAGTTAAAAATTAATTTAAATTGCTTTGATGATAGCAGCAAACTGTTGAAAATTATAGAAAGTATTCAATTCTTTGATAAGAAATATACTGAAATTGAAAATTTGATTAAAAATACATGGAAAAATGTAATTATTGAAAGAAAATATTCTTTTCAAATGGAATTTGAATTCTATCCTAAATTTTCATTGAACAATTAAAATTCTTCTAATATTAAATTTGATGATATATTGACACCAACTCAACTTTTATTGAGAAATTGTAATAAAAATCAAGAAAATTTTGGCTTATTTTTCAAAGTTGAACAATTTTTAAATTATTTAAAATTTTTAAAAAATTTCAATCAAATAGTTTGAAAGAATTATATATTGAAAATTGTGGTTTGGCAGAAGCGATTGAAATCAATTGTCCAAATTTAAAAATATGTAAACTGGTAAAAGTTGGTAGAAAATTATATTTGAAACAATTTTTTAAAGACAATTTCAAATTACAAAAATTAAATATATCTGGAATTTCATTATTAAATGATCTGGGAAAGAATTTCTTTGAAATATTAAGTAATTTGACAATATCATTATCATCTCTCAAATGTAATGATTGTTAAATGATTACAAAATCAAATGATTTACTTAATTTACTTAAAAATCACAATTGTTTAAATACTTTAGAAATGGATGGTAATCAAGTTGATTTGATTGATAAATTTGTTGATACTTTGGATTTTTTTACATCTATTTTTTCAGCACATTGTCTAAAAGTATTAAAATTACCAATTATTAAATGCCCAAATAATCAAATAACAATGAAGACAGCAACAAATATTGATGATTTCTTGATGATAAAACTGGATTTGATATATCTAGATTTTGGTGGAAATTCTCTAGATAATATCTTGATATGTAATTTTATTAAAAAGCTAACTTCTTTTTCAATTAGTTTAAAAATCCTTGCTACAAATTGCTACAATTCAACTTTTAATGACTTATTGAATGATATTAATTTCTCTAATTATTCTAATTTTAAATATTTGAAAATTGTACATTCAAATTCAAATTTAAATTTGAAAGAGTTTAATGAACTTTTCACTTGTCCAAATAAGATCCTATCTCTAAATGTTATAAGAAAAATTCACCTAAAAAATTGTCAACTATCTGATGATTTTTTAACAACATTGACAAATATTTGGACTGAACTAACTTCAATAAAAACTTTGGATATAAGTTATAATGAATTTACAAAGGATACTAGTTTAAATTTTTTAAAGATGATTAAACATGAAAAATTTCAACAATTTGATAATTTGTATGTACTTTGTTGTATTGTAATTGTAGGAAGTCCTAGCTCGTCACTATCAAATTCGTCCTCTCCAATCATTTACCAATGTGCCAAAGTACTGGTCCAAATAGAACCTTTCAAGTTCGTCCACAAGTAGTCTTAATAAATGTAATTCCAGTAAAAATTAACCAACAAACACCAGTATTTCATTCAAAGAATATGTATTTGAGTAAATGAGTTTCTAGTTCTAAACAAGCAAGTTTGAACAACCAGCTGATGGTTAGAAAACTGAACTGACTACTGTTAAATTCGTAGGGTTTATATACTTTTCCAATAGTTCACAGTTCACAGATAAAAATATTCACACAAAGAAATGTAACAATTTGGATAAAGGGAAAGTTCAAATATACTTCCATGTTTGTTACTTTTTCTTTATCTTGGAGAACTTTTGCTCCCTATTTTAGTAGGTCAGAAAGTTGCCTAAGATGTAACAATTATTAATAGAAGTTGGATTGATTCCAAAACACAAAAATAGGAAAAGGTCAACTTGATGCCGTTTTAATATACAACAAATTATTAATAATAATTGTTTGTGTAAGATAATATGTTTCTGTGTAAAGGACTGGTAGGATAAAAGTATTAAACTTAATCATCTAATATAGTATTGTGCATACAATACTGTTGAAAAGTGACAATAATCTAAAAACTCCAAATATAAATAGAATAGTGGAAGATATAATTAATATTCATTAAATATGATGTGTATAATAATTTGGGTTAACATCTAGTTAGTTTAAATAGTGTATGTTGTAGTTTTAGGCGTGTAGAGTACTTTATAATACTCTTTCAATATTGCTTTCCATTGATGAATGAAATGTAACAATTTGGGTGTATTGTGTGAATTTGTGAGCCTGGTTACAAGCTTATGTGTTTAGTACCTACAAACTGCCTAAATGTGTACATTGTATATGCATCATTGTAATTGGAAAAATACGGATATATCTGAATATTTGAATTCAATTATGGAATTAAAATTTTTAAGAATTTTCAATTCAAAATCAAATGCTGCTAAACTGGTATCACATGCTGTTGTTGATGTAAATAATTCTTTTGAAAACAATTGACAGCATCTTAAATTGGACATTAAATAGTAATATTTTCTTTTTTTGCCACTCATCAAAACAAATACCAAGTGAATTTGATGATATTCACAAGTTTTCCTTTTAAAACCATGAATAGAAAACAGTTGGTAGAATGGAGGTTGTTCCATCAACAAACCATATTTTCACTTTGCTAACAATTCAAGCTGGTGCTTTGTACTTAAAATTATATTTCAATGGACCTTCAAATTATGGACAAAGAACTAACTGGTGTACCAGTCATAACTTCAGCAGAAGGTAAGGTTTTAAAGCCCAAAGGAACAG